GATGCCGGATATATCCGGCGCTCGTACGCACAGGTCGCCGTGTGGATGCCGGATATATCCGGCGCCCGTACGCACAGGTCGCCGTGTGGATGCCGGATATATCCGGCACTCGTACGCACAAGTCGCCGCGCGGATATATCCGGCGCTCGAAGCGAAAGGGTTAAGCGATTTATTGAATAACATTCCGTCACAAATTTTATTTGTTTCGAATTTTGTAATCTTCGCTGTATGTATAATGTTACCCTCCGAAATCGAGCGATGCGGGCACAAATTCGATGTGTTATTAATAATAAGCCAAAAAAGAACTGACAGTACTATGTAATGAAAAACAAGAAATAATTATTTAATGTACGTAAAAGGGGACGATGTACGCGCGTGATTTTTAACTACATTCATGCCTTTTTTGCAGGCGTGCTACACCTCCCTCTCCCACCTACAAGCATGCGCCAAAAACAAAAGATGCATTGGTATAGCAACATATGTAAATAAATTAATTAGATCTTTACGAAGTCACTTTACGCAATGCACTCCAACGCCGAGTATGTATTACTCGATGTTTTTTACGTTCGCGCAGTGGGACGGGAATGCGGAGGAAGCTGCCCGACGATATGCAGAGGAACATCCCGGTCAAAATTTACCGTCGGCTAATACGTTCAGGCGAGCAGCCGCACGGTTATACACAAGTGGCTCATTCCAACCTGCACGAGAAGGTGTAGGTCGCTCGTGCCTGATCTCCACGGTACGGGCGGATGAGGTGCTCGAAGAATTTGACCGGGATGGGAGTCTCAGCGTACGAGATGCGAGTCACCGATTGGGGTAAGTTAAATTGATTATTTACAACAGATGTTAACATCTTACAGTACTTTCTCCGTAAATGTAAAAAAGCTCTCTACCGTAAATGTTAAAATTCGATCTCCACTACTAGGGGGATCCCCCTCGAAATCAATCAAAAATGAAACACGATCAGTCGCCGAAACGACAAGGATCGAATATCGGTGAGACTCGGTTAAAAAGATCTCTACCGTAAATGTTAAAATTCGATCTCCACTACTGGGGGGATCCCTCTCGAAATCAATCAAAAATGAAACACGATCAGTCGCCGAAACGACAAGGATCGAATATCAATGAGACACACACTAATACAAGGAAAGGAAAAGATTGCAACTTTCTTATTTCTTACTATTTTTTCGAGAAACTTTTACTGTCGTATTCATCTAGTTTTCCTGATTTAAATGACACCAAACATGATATAATTATATACTATACAAGTAATTATGATTTTAATTGTACCGTGTTTTGTACCAATTTAGTCAGAAAAATGACACGAATACGATAATCAAAGTTTCATTCACGAAAAACCAAAAATAAAGAATTTTGATTTTTAAATTTAAAAGACAAAACACGCACGAGTCTTTCATGTTTGCCGAACCTCAGTCCTTTTTTGTCTTTTGTGTTGCTGTCTTTTTCTATGTTCGGCTCACTACAAAGAATGTAGTACCTATTTACAGAGAGAATACTGTACTGTATTTATCTATTATTTTTTTATTTTTTTTTATACTATCGCTATAATTTATTTTTTCATAATGTATTTTTGTATTTTATTTTAGGATCAGCAGGTCGTCGATTCATCGAATTCTTCAAGAAAATATGCTGCACCCGTACAAATATGTACAGGTGCAGCATTTAAACCCAGGAGATTACATTCAACGGATTCACTATGCTAGGTGGCTTGTGGGAAAGATCGAGCGGAATCCATCTTTCTGCAAATACGTTTTATGGACAGATGAAGCCCTTTTTATCAGAGAAGGCTGCTTTAATGCCCACAATTCGCATTTGTGGAATGATGAAAATCCGCATGCGATCCGTCCACGAGCAATGCAAGCACGCTGGTCCGTGAATCTTTGGGCCGGCATTTGTGGGGACTTTATTGTTGGTCCGTACATTCTGCCCGACAGATTGGACGGATGAACATATAAAATGTTCTTCGAGCATCTTCTGTCGAATCTTTTGGAAGAAATTCCACTAGAGATTCGATAGAACATATTTTTCCAACATGATGGTGCTCCAGCCCATTATGCCGCAAGTGTTCGGGCTTTCCTAGATCACACTTTTTAGGACAGGTGGATCGCGCGCGGCCCTGTCGCGTAGCCCCCCAGGTCACCCGACATGAACCCGCAGAATTTTTTCTTCTGAGGATTCTTGAAGGTAAGATACAAAATTTTCTTAAGGAAATAATTAATTTCATAGTATTTTCAGTAAAATTAAATGTCATATATTTTTCAGAATGAGGTGTATCGACAACCGATTACCTCTCGGGATGACCTGGTGGATCGGATCCGCGAGGCAGTTGCGACCATACTCCCGCCACACTGCGTTGAATAAGTGACAATATTCTTGTACGCGCTCGAGCGGCCATTGGGGCTAATGGAGGCCACATAGAGCCGTACCTATAATAATCGGACCCTTTCGGGGCCAACTATGACATATGTTTCAAACTCAAGTATTATATATTTCTGTTGTATATAGGGTGTTACCTGTAACGCTACTCACGATTTTTCTCCCACTTGCAGCCACCTTACGAAAAAATGTTTAGGACAATATTAGCAGGGTATGAAGTGCACAATAGATATTAGTAAAACAAATTTTTAAAACAGTTTGTTCTCTTGGCAAAGTCAAGGTCACCTTGGGTTTTTTAAATAGGAAAAAACATTTTTTTTATTCATAGCTTTAGAGGACATCGAGACGAATTCAAAACATATATTACATGATATTTTTA